TGAAATTATTTCTGCTTATGAAATGATTCCTTTTCAATTACAGCTCGGAGGCTACGAGCAAGTGGAGCAGGCGTATCTTGACAAACTGACGAAAGCTGAAACGTGGGACAACGCGCGAGACAAGGCAGGCTTGATCAGATCAATGGCGGGGTTCTTCATGCAGTTAGGTCTTCAAAAAGGCGCAAGGTTAGAAATACCAGAATTACTACTAGGGTTGATTTTGTACTTCAATTTACAACTGATTTTGATTATGCTGTCAGAACGCATTATGCCTGCGTCGGTATGACTATGAAAGCCTGTCTATGTATTGTAGGCAAGTAGTCATAAAATCATATATATTGTATATTTTATTTATACTCAAACTCCATCCTTTTGACATAATGAGTCTTGCAGAGGTATTATCTACTTGTCTACAGATCACTATATGAACGTCTGCTTGATGCACTGGAAACCAAATACCAGGAAGATTATTCGACGATTGTGTACCATCACAAGAAATACACATACAAACGGCAATGTGTACACACAGATGTACTGGAGGTGGGTAAAATTGAAAATTATTTGAGTATAATTTTCTTTTTTTCTCAATATTTTTTAAATTTCTAAACACTTAGTCGGCCCATGCCGACTGGGCCCCTTGAATCCGCCACTGAATATAATTTCAAACATTATGGGATAAGGTCATACAGTCGAATTCATTGCTTTTGAAGTCGGATCCCGTGGGTTTATCACCGGCGATTATTCATCTCACCTAAAGCGACTTTATAAACACCTCAATAAACCGGTTTCATAAAAACCTTAGAAAAAAACAAGTGTCTGAACTTTTCATTGTCTCCTCTTCTTGCATTTTTACGCCAGATATGAAACCACATGGATCGACCCCCGATATCTTAACTTGTAATTTGTTTTCTCTACTGTTCCCTGTGTTTGTCTTCCGGTATCCTGTTCTAGTCCTGTCACCTTTTCTGTGTTCTGTCTTCACGTTCCTTGCATGTCCACTTTTTGTGGAATGTTTTGAATTTTGCCACATTTGTTATGTTTTGCAAAAATATAAATTAGGCCTATTATATATTTCGAGACAATTTTTGTATTATTGAAATTTTAATGTTTTTGGCAAATAAAGTGATTTTAGTACATATATCATATTGTTTGTTTATGAACAGGTGCTGATACAACTTGGGTCAGTTTGTCGTAATCTGGGGGAACTAAATGACGCCAAGAAGTACCTACATGACGCTATTAGCCGGATGAACAAGATTCGCACACCGGCACAGAAACTACAACTGGTTAAAGCTCTTCTTGGAATGGGGTAATTGTAAAACATAAAAGGGTCGTGTTTTGTGTAGAAAAATCTGTGTCTGTGTGTACAAATACAGCATCTATAAGCACACGGTTATCTCAATCACTATCTTTATCACTATCTTCATCAAGTCCATCCATTTTCATCATCTCTATAACCATTGTGATCTGAAATCATCGTCGCCATTACTATCATCTTCAATGAGGATAATTCATCATTTCCATATCGTCATCAAAATTATCATCATCATGACCCAGTTAGACCTACATTACATTTTTACTAACATTCATCGTCGTAATCTTCATTGTAATCGTCGTCATTATTAGTCTTTCATTATCATTATCATCACCTCACCTGAATCATCGTGAAAAGTGACAACAGGTCACAACATGGCAAGGTGCCCTATACCGGAAATATTATCTTCAAATGTTTACTCACTAGCATGTTTCCAAATCAATATTTATCTTCATGCTATAGGTCGGTTCTTCGACTTCAAGACAATGCAGAATGGGCCAAGCTGTACTTGAAACGAGCCCAGGAGATAGCTACCGACATTCTAGGAAACAACCACCATTACGTTGCCGCAATCGTTGGACAGGTACCGTTCACAATCCAGGTTACACCTAGTGTTATAGGCCTACATTCAACCCCGTAACCCCGTTTTTGTTGAATCCTGTATTTTATTTTTTTCTTGCTGTGGCGTACCGTTGAGCAATCTGTTAACAGCAGAAGACTTCATGTTCGAATCCTGGTTGGAGCACTTATGACAGATAATACGATTGAATTTCTTTAATTATAAACAATTTTTTATTAGATCAATTACGTTTTTGTGCATTTTTCTTTTGGGGGAGGTGGAATAGAGAGGATGAGTACCAGGCGTATCAATGGCTGTGGGTGAGGCAAGCAAAATTAAGTATTAAGCAGCTTTAAATGTCAGAAAAAGCATTCTCAGACTTAAAATATTACATGGTTGAGGCTGGGATGAGATGACCAAATTCAGGGGTGTAGCCTGCGATATATCACTGTTAGACTTAATTTGCCTTTTTGAGTCCCATAAATTTTAAGTATATCAAATAACTTTTTAGCAAAAATTGTGAAAAAAAGTAGGGGGGGAATTATCAGGAGTCTCAACACCCACTTCATCATGCACCAATTTTGGTACTGAGTATAAAATAAGGATGTAGCAACTCCTGCAGATTCATGGAAATTGCACTCCCAGACGATTTCAAAAGGGTTTTACTTCGATCGGACGGTATTTTAATACACTGCAATTTTATTATGCTATGAAAAAATTGAAAGAATGTTTCATGAATTTTTAAAAATTCAAATTTAAAATAGTTTATTACAAATATCAATAACATTAAATTTATAACTACAAGGAAGTTGAAATTGTGTAGAAAGATTTTAGATATGTAGAAATAAAGTAGGCCTAATTATTAGTAACAGAAAAACGAATGGTTTTTTCATTAATTATGAAATATAACAGTAGGCCTATTTGTTGACAACACTATTATGGTGTTTATTGTTCTAATTATTGTTCTTATTATGTTCATTATTATCTTCATCATTGTCATAATTATCATTCTCAATGTCATCAATATCATTATCATAATCATCATTGCCGTTGTCATCATCATTATCATTGTCGTCGTCATCATCATCATCATCATCATCATCATCATCATCATTATCATTATCATCATTATTATTATTAACACTCCGCAAAAAAAAAAACACTCTAATATATTGCTCTACAAGGTATAGTACATCTGACATACTACATCAGGCAACGCTTTTTATTACCTTGTTTAACTAAATTATTTTTAAAGATCGTCAGAACAGGGTGGAATACATTAAAATAAAATGTTTCTTATTTAGCAACATGAATTCGCGAAAAGCATCTAGGGAGAGGAAAAAATAAAAATAAAAACGTATGGATGAATGTAAACAGTGTAGTAATGACATAAATTCTTGGAATAGTTAAGGAAGAAACACTATATTTAATTTTTGGAGGGAGCGGAGGCTGTAATTAAAATTTTTAATGAAACTTCTATTTTTCGTGTTGGAGCGTGCGTTAACTGGCCAAAAATATATATATTTTTTAACATTTAAAAAATAATTGTTTCCTTCACATCCAACAGCAAGTACACTCGCCACTTACAGGATGAGAATGATGATTTATAAACATAAACAATAAAGTCTGTTTATAAGGTAGGGAATGGACTTCATTTTAGTTGTCAGAAAAAGTCCTGCTGTGACAGCAATTGAACCGAGGACCCTGGGATCAGAAGGCGAGCATCTTAATCACTGAGCTATTCAACTCAACTTTTATTCTTAAAAATATTAACATTATTTTCGAAATTGTTCAAATGCGTCGGAGGGTTCGCTAAAAAAGGTATAAAAATGTCTTGCCATAATGGTCAGACTATAAACAGCGGCCTCTGGAGTTTATGACGCATTATCTTCGTCAGGGGATACAGTAGTTTAGTTTATTCAACTGAACATACACTTTTGTTTCAATGGCACACAGCAATTTGGTGCGTTTAATGAGAAAGAAAAACAACTTAAAGAAACTAATAGTTATACAAAATAATTATATAATAACAGTATACAGTACTGTATTGGTTTTTAAACAAAATCCACGGTATGTTTTCCGTTCGTGTAAGTTTGTGTGTGTGTGTGTGTGTGTGTGTGTAACGTGACCATCCGGAGTAGGGTGTGGGTATGAGGACCATTTAAAGGAAAACGTCCTAGACCAGATATTTCAAAACTAATCAACTAATTATTTTGGAGATAATAAAATAGTGTGAGATACTAATTCTGAATGGTTATTAATTTTGATCGCGTATTATTAGTGTCGTTATCAAAAAAACCCAAAATTCTACAAAAGCTTCATATATTGAGTGAAATGTAGACGCTTAGACAACTTGAGGATCATTTACTCATTCAACAATCCGTATTCATCCATCCGTCCGTTCGTTCATTCATCCATCCATCCGTCTCTTCATTCATTATTCTTTCGTTCATTTATTCATTCTTATTTTATTTACCTATTCATTTATTTGTCGATTCGTTTCGTTTCTAATCCATCAATCCATTTATTTTTTTCTTTCATTATTGTTTGCCATTGAAGTGACATCTCATCCGCGACCCAAGCATAGAATGAATGCATATAACATTAATTTAAGGACAAATAATTTTATTTCTCTTGCATCAGCTTTATAACCCCTTGAATTTTCGTTTTTGAATTAACAACCATCAACCGCTAATTCAAATAATTTATAACACACACTAGAATTCACACACGAACATCTATGGATAAAGTTGACGAGATCGTTATGAACACCGGCACATCAAAAGTTATTTCTTCCTGTGTGAGCTACCTGACGCAACGATCTATTTTCCACCTAAAAAGGTGTGTTCATGTTCTCTATGGTTTGTTTTCACACCTTTTGTAATCGTAGAATTATGGACTAATGAAGTTTTTCAAGGCCTATTATTTTTCGGCAGGCCGTCCAATTGCGAAAACTTTACTTTAGCGCGTTAATTCTTTTGATTGTTATCTTACAAGAATCCAATGTAAAAGGTCACTTGATTATTATGCAAATTATATTACTGGTGTTTTTGTTTGTATGGAAACAAAGGTCACCATTCACGTATGGCGAGGCAAGTGTACACCCCTACGTGTGAAATGGTTTCACCTATACAAATCATTGATGAAAGAAAGGTTTGGCGTTGTGTTGGAGAGGAGAGACATATTTCAACTCGTGGATGTTATCTGTTATGTATTTTGAGGAATTCCATCGTTATTTTTCAAAGTTGCCTAGGTAAGTCATTGTATTTATGTAAAACATGCATTATTCTATATGTCTGTAAACAAAAATATAAAATCGGTGTGTAACGGATTCGGAAGAATTAGTAGTTACATCAGCCTAGCCTAGGGTAGAAATTGTTGGATTCGCCAAGGAAAGACAGGTCAGCGTCACTCCTCTCTCTCACTCACAGTCTCAGTTGGTCTCAGTCAGAATTATTGTGCGACGGTGATAATGCACGTTGGGCTTGCCAACAATCTTGAACGAAATTGTATAGGCCTAGACCTATATTTGCGCTACAAAAGGTGGAATGTTCTTGCACCTACCTTTCTTTCACTTAAGTTAAGTGATATAGGCTATGGTATGGTACACCACAGATTTTGCCCGCTGTTTTCCTCACAAAAAGAGCAAACACAAGAAACATCTTTTAGTTCACTGCCTTACCAAGCTCATGTGAAATTTCAGCACCAGAGTGTGCTTGAATACATTCAGCCTATGTACCATCATGCAACTACTTTTAGGTGCAGGGATGTAGGCTACAACCTAGAGGGGATGCAAATGTGGAACTAAATCCTTATTATTAATTAAAACTTAATTAGTATTTTGAATTTGATTCTTGAACGGGTACTCTTTGCAACATCTTATTCAGGAAACACGTTCTATAGTGGTACTAATTTGCTGCCATGTGTGGGGGAGGGAGGGGGGTGCATCTGTATTAATGAGTTATTTTGATTCAATCATATTTCCCTTCATATAATAACATGAAATGTAACTAGTTGCTACCATAAAAACATTTCTCAGTTTTTACATTTCTTTTTAGAAACTCAGTAGGAGAAAAGTATGGTAACTACATATGATCCCAAAATATTACCACAGTTTTACCCTTTCTACAGTATACAGTACAGTACCCTCAAACTATCTGTAAAAAATGACACACCCCTTCAACCAAGTATTATTGGAGGCCTACTTGTACACCCCTGTATGAATTAAATAATTTGAGAGGGATTCATTTGAGATGGTGGGATGCTTCCATCGTATTCATTGGTAAAAGTATGTACTGTACAATACATTGTATGTTGAATGCACATTTTCATGGTCACAACTAACACATACCTGCAAACATTTTGTCCGTAAAATTGTGCATTTTATTAAGCTGACTTTTCACTCTGTAACCTGACCCTCAACCATCGATGGAATGGGCTACATTACAGCATCATCTGTAGCCTCAAGAAAGTGCATTACCATAGCTAGGCCTTGGTATAATTCAAGGTTGCGTGTGCCTCTCTATTCCCTGGGAGACTGTCTATGAACATTCACTTCCAAGGTTGATATCCTAATTGTTAAGATCTGGTTTTTGGTAATATTTTTCAGTGTTCAGCAGCAGAGAGCTGAGTGTTAACCATAATAAAATAAAACATAAGCCATTAAAAGACATTGCCTAAAATGCTATGCTTTGGGCATACCTGTACTAAGTCTACTGTATGATTGATCATTCATTATTATTACTGTAAAATAGTTTTTTATCCTGATATTGGTCTCTGAGTGACAGTGCCAATACAATTGGTTGACAAAAAAAAATGTTTTTTCTCCCCCGCATCCCCCTCCCCACTTCCCCAAGCATAAAATCTTACCTATAGTTAACAGATTGAAAGGGCTCACATGCTCGCATTTCCTGGTTTGTGGCTCTGACTTTCATCAGGAGAGGGATGCCCCTTCCCTAAATTTACTACAAAAAAAACCATATGCAGTACAGTGTGATTTTTCTAGACTACCGTAATCCAATGGTGTTACTGTGAATGCTCTTATTTTTCATCCATTGTATGTTGCAATTTAGCTACGTTGTCTAGGCCTCAATACCCTGTCTCTTTATGCCTGGTACCTATAAGTCTAATATAGATGCTTAATCTCACTTTGCACCCTTTTTAGTACTTACAGTTCAGTACTCAAGTGTGGTTCTTGGCCTAGATTTCAATAGAATTATCGAACGGGTTCATGGGTACAGGAATCCAAAAAAGAATCCTTGCTACTGTACAGTTAAAACCTTGTTGTTATCGTTTCCCTGAAAAAGGACATTCAAAGTTGAAATCCTTTTGGAGAATTCTGGTAATGTTTATAGCATTCAGAAAAATAGTGGAACGATACTTAAAGATCTAAAGCTAAATACAGCTGGTTTTACCTCCACTACACAAGAATTGAGAGATTATAGTCGATGAATAGATGACAAAGTTCGCGATGTATTTTAAAAAACAACTCGCATTATAACAGTTATATAGTGTCCCATTGCTATTTTGTTACTGAAACTGGTTGATAGGATTTAAGATTTAATTTGACTTCAATGAGTGGTAATAATAACTAACGCTGCTAACTATGATTTCAAAAGCATGTTTATGCAAAACAGACCTGAATTTCAAGTGAACCATGCTGTACTGTACACATTGAACACTATCTTGTGTTTAAAGTTGTACTATAATTATAGCATGGAGGTATTTTTTTTATCCATAGTTATAGTCTGTACTGCCGGTATTATTATTACTCAGAATGTATTGTTAATTTTTTTAATTAACTCTTTATTATTTGTTCCATGTTTACAATATTAGTTGATGATGATTCTTAATTTTCAGGCTTGTACTGGTAGGATTTTCTAACCTATTCTGTATTCATTTTCTCCACAGTAAATTATTTTCAGTTTTTGGACATTTTTTCTGTCTTTGAAAAAGGTTAGCCATCTTTCTTTTACTAAATAAATATTCATAAGCCTATAGTATACTACTAAATATCATAGGTCTGTACATAGTCCTATAGTAACTACTGTATGCTCTACTAAATACTGATATTAATAAGAATCTTCAGTGCTTAATATTCATAAGCCTGTGGTACTACAGTAAATATTCATAAGCCTACTGTATGCTACTAAACTGTTGTGTCTGCCCAAAAGTTCAGTTTGTCAAGACAATCGCAGCAATAATGCTGCAAACGACAAATTCACATTAGTGTTATTAGGCGAGACTTTTTTTATTCCTTGTTTTGCGTACTTATTTTGTTAAAGATCATCGGAGGAGGGTAGAATAAAAATAAAAATAACATTTTGTTTTCTTATTTATAGCAATAGTTTTGCCAAAAACATACACACAGAGGAGAAAATGAAAATAAAATTTTATTGGTGAATGTAAAAATGGGATAACTAAATGTTTCAAATTTATATAATTAGGAAGAAATATACATATCTTGTCTTTGGAGATTTCAAGGCAGCGGAGGACGTAATAAAAATAAAGAAAAACTTTTACTTTTTTCTGAAATTTCCACTTTTTCGTGGCGATTGGTGTGCTAATTGGCCAAAAACAAAATTTTATTGTTATTCGAAATCATCAATATTTGCAGTTGATGGGTTCACTAAACAAGGTATAAAAAAAATCTTGTCTTACTGTAGTAAATATACTTTTTTGTACTTGTATTTTTATCGGTTGTAACTTTCTCTGACACTGAATCAAGATACCACGATGTGAGTTTATCTAGTTGACAAACAGAAACAGACAGGAACATTGATTTTGTAACTGCAGGTTGAGATAATTTACTAGCTACCTACATTATGTTTATCATTATGTAAATAGTCATTGCAGAGATCCACTACATGCACTTTGGTATACTTCAGTCTTTGCCAGGGGGTCAGCTACTGTACTTCTGATTGGAGAAAATCGGAAGGTTAGCCAGAGTAAACATCACAAATTGAACACATGTTTATATTTTTTAGAAATTGTTAATATTGAAGCTCAGCTGCGGAGGAAAGCATGTTTTTAATATGTCCCAAATGAATATTTAACAACTGGGGGAAAGGTTGGGAAAAAAAATATTCAAAAATCTGTACAGTATCTACTTAACCGCTTCTGTTTCTTTTCGTCAAATTTGCTTTTGGTGTCCTAGGAAAAGCAGTTGTACAGTACATATCAATTTTTTTTCCTCCTGAACCTGGCTTTAATTATTAATAATAATTAACGGTACAAAGTTTAAATAAAACAAGTACAATAAAAACAGATAATGTAAATAAATATGCTTAACATATCAGGGTTCTCCCCAAAGCTGTTTTAGCTGTCAGTTTTTACCAGTAAAAATTACTGACCAACCAGTAAAAAATGTGCGTTGGTAGAATAAAAATAAAAGCACTTAATAGGCCTAGGTAGCCTTCTTCTTTCCATAAATGAACATAATTCCAGTCCAGGCCTAGGCTATGATTATTGAAGCCATTGAAGTTCACTTGAAAGTGGTAATACCTTATGTTGCACACGCTTAGCTGGCTCTATATGGACAAATTTACCAGTAAACATTTTTCAAGAAAGTACTGCATATAACAGCTCTTTATTGCATTCTGATATGTAATAATGGAGGTATAATTGATCACAGTAATTAATATACACTGTGGGGTGTAAAATACAGACACTACAGTAGGCAAGCATACTGTACTGTAGGTTCATGCATATATTTTTAATTTTGAGAAACCAGATCTTCTCCACCAGTCTTCATTTTATAATCTACAGTAGTAATTCTCCTTGACTGCACTAGCTCCATGCTCCTACTGTACTACTGTAGATACATTGATTATTTTTAATACAAAAGTACAATTGGTACAGTAGCCTTCCGGTAGGGTGATTAGGACTTTAACTACAGCAACACAACAGACACAGATAAAGGGGGAAAATAAAGATTGTATTCAATAACAATGAGATTACTAAAGTTCAGTTGTACTGTACTCTGCAACAACATGCTTTAAGTTGACACATTTCTGTGAACTTTGTATTTTTAGCTTTTAAATCAGGATGAAATTTAAAAAAAATAATGAAATGAAATGAAAAAGATTTGGAATATACTTATATACTGTACATAGAAATATGTGGTTATTGAGTAATCCAACTCAGCATTATTAGTCATCATTTTCGGCTCATGATGTTTATTCCATTTAAACATATGCACACATGTTTAATAAGTCAAGTGGCTGAGCAATAAAGCAGGGGCGCCGCTAACTATAGCTTGAACATCGCCGCTGGTTCCAGCTGCTCCTATCCCAGGGTTCCATTGATACATTGATAGAACCAAGTCTTCTCGAATAAGGACTCAAAATTAAGGTCCAGTGTACACTTTAAAGAGCCCATTTCGGAAGAATAGGGGTTATCCCGATGCTACAGTATGGTTCATTTCAGCCCCTGTTGTGGGATGATGTGAATGTGTAGCTACTATAACCGCCTCTTTCTGGCCACTAGGTAGTCACGAACCATACCCATATGCAATTCAGCACAGTGACGCTGCGTGTTATAGGTTATTCTCCTACCTTTACCTAAAATTTAAAAAATGAAACTAAATAAGCTGTAGAATTACTAAAGTTTGATAAATTATCAGATTGCACTCACATATTGTTTGTACTCACATTGTTTGGCACAGGGAGAAGGTGTCAGGCTTCTAATGTGATTGTCATCAGTTCAAATCTTAAGGTGTTCATACATTGTGTCTTTAGGCATGAATGGTCCTTTATGTTTATGTCATAGCAGTATGCATGGGTACCTGGTAGAGTGTTAGTGTTAAATTAGCTGGCTTGACTGTAGGAATGTACTGTGCATTAGTCCCTAAGGTCCGAAAGGAGGTCGCATATTGTGTTATGATTGATTGTGTATCCAGTCACATTTCGTACCACAATCGATTATGCGTTAAATGCAATTCTGGCTAACATAATATATAACATTAACACAAAAGTGCAGTAATTCTTGTGCATATAAACAATAACTTTAGTTGAACATGTCAAAATGTGAAGAGTATAATACTGGCTGAAGAATAATTCTTCAGCCACTCCAATTCAACTAACCATTTGCTTATTAGTGTATATACTCTATCATTACTCTCTGATGATTTATTTCCGAATGTGTGGCAATGCAATTTAAAGTGAAATTATCTCTGAGAAAACTACTCTACTGACATACACAGTACATTACACTTTCATTTTAAATACCGCACTGTACTACAGTGTATCACATCTTATCAGTTAACTTTGTTTGCGATGGATTAATTTTGGACCAATATAAAAGGTAGCTTTACCTTTGGTTAAATTGTACCATTGTTTGCATAAATTTGCAGTAAGTAGGTTTTAAGATAGTAAGATACTGTAGGGAAACATGGTCAGTCTAATCTGTTCTATTTTCTCTATGGTCTAATCGTGCATACATTTGTAAAATTTTCAGTGATGCGCTCATTATTCGAACATGCTTGAAAAGATTTCACAGGGTTGGACTGTTAGCTTTGGAACTTTCTGCTTCAAGTTTGGATAAATAAACAGTCAAGATAATTCTTCCCAAGCAGTATTAACTGCATGGCTTTGAGAATTTTACCAAAGCTATGCTGGGCTTCTTTTTTTTTTTTTTCAACAGACTACAGTAGGTGAGTACATAGTAATACATGGTTAGTTTAATTATAGACATGAATAGAAATCTGAAGAGAACTTCATGATTTTCCCTACTGTTGGAGACTGAGGCGTGGGGATGACTGATATTTCACAACAGGATGAGGCTCTGTCTAGTGGTGGTGCTATGAGGGGTGCCCCCTCCCCCCCCCCAAAAAAAAGAGAAGAAAAGCCAAAATTCGTCATGGAAAAAGAAAAAATTATATGTACTTTCGACCTATTAGTAGACTGTCTATATATAATATCGATTAAATAAGCCTCTGAAACCACTAAATTGTCATATTTTTTGGGGGGCTCTGCCTCCCCCCTGGACCATTCTCGAAACATTTTAGTCAACACTTGACCACATCCCCTTTGCTCTCGTATCAGACCTTGTCCCGCCATCCCCCCTTCCCCCCAAAAAATTGTACCTTGTCCCTCACATGTCTCCCAGATTTCAGAGGCTCCACTGGCTCTGTCCCAGCTTTAAATGTATTGTCTTGGGAACTGCTATTGCCAAATATGGCAGTTTCCCGCAGTTGGTAAAGTGTTCGAACATTATTCCAAATATCGCTGGTTTCATTCCCGCAACAGCCGATTATTTTCACTTACTATATTGTTGAATTGTCAAAGATGTTTTTGCTATCAAAACTAAACAAGGTTTTATTGATTATTATTCAAGTTCTTATCAATGATTAAAAAAACTCAGTGGAAGTTCACTGAATAACCATGTCAATGTTTTCATTGTATTTTTTTTAATGTGATTGTATAAAGAACAAGTTTGAAAGTTACTTAGGAAACTGACCCTCCTGAGGAACAAAGCTAGGAAAATAAGCAAGTTCATTTACCTACACAGTGCATCAGAAAGTTGATCGGCATTGCCTTTAAGCAATTTAAGCATTGTATAATCCTAAAAATGCCTTTCATTGATTTCATGAACAATCATGAACAATAAGCTAGCTTACAGGTTTGTCATAACTAAGTATTTGGCAAAGGTCAAGATTTTGATTGAGTATCTATAGACAGGTGCAACGAAGCATATCTTTTGATATGACAAAAGTTGTTTTGAGCTGGTAAATTTGTCATGAATCTTAAAAAAGTTTAACAAACACTCCTGTTAATCTCTCTTTGATATTAATTCTAATTTTGTCTTAAAACAGTTTTGGCAATTTTATTATTCATGAAATTTAATTTCCTTAGGTTTAAATTATAAAAAAATATGAAACTTGATTTGAAAGCTATGACTTTGATTGAATTTTGGTGATATAATGACGCAGGCTTCCCAAGTCTTCCAGAAATCGG